CAAAAATTTTTTGCATATCATATATCTTGATACCGTATTATATATTTCATATTATCAATTATATATTTTATTTATACGTAGTACGTATTAGTGATAACGCGACTAAATCAGAAATCGTATTTTAGGTCGATAATTTATGCATTTTCGATTAATTAGATACATTATAGCATTGCAGAATTAATTAATTCCTAGCAGCGAAAGCCCTTTTACAAATTAAAATAATTTCACTCGATTAATCTTTAGTATCTACATTCATCAAATGTATCACCTTTTATCTTATCATTATGTTAGAAGCCTATTAATCAAAAGCGGACAAATTTTTGACAAATTTATCAACAGCAGCCTTGAAATATTCATTATTAACGCCTTCACCTCCAGGATGTCCAACTGGTGCTAATGGATTTTTTACAATGTATTCTACATAAAAGTTTGTATATATTTGCCTTAATACAGGCCGCAGGGATTCTGTCGATGGATCGGTATTTATGACAAATTTCAATCCTGTCTGTGTTTCATAATAGTGAAGTTTATAAGTCGATGTACGGTAAGATATAAATCCATCTTGACTAAAATAATAATTTAAAGAATTTTTTTTTTTTAAATAAAACTCAAGAAAAACCGTTCATAATACATAATAATTTCGTAACCAATTCGATCGCAGACTTACTTTCCACTAAGTTTATTCACAAGATTTCTCAATGTGCGTACGACTCCGTAAACTAGTTTCGATTCTTCTTCAATGTTAACCAAGCGACTATCAGAAAACATGCTTGTGGCGCTTGTTAGTTGAGAAGCTGTAGAATGGTGGCTCGCGAGATGATTATTGGCTACAGCACTATGAGCTGGCGAAGAGGAAGATCCTCCAGAATCACCATCAGGCTGACCATTCATACTTGTTGTTGCGCTTGCAGTACCAGCATTATTGCTTCCCATTATACCACCACTTTTTCTGTGTTTGTGCCAATCAATATAAAAAATACAAGCGCAATGGCGATCAAAAATGTATAAGTTATAAATCATTTTCTTTAGATTTTAAAATTAAATACAGAAAATATCACAGATCAATTTAGTGTTCTACATGACATATGTCGTATGTCACATGATTAAGATTGATCGCCCTTCACAATCAATAAACGCGTCTTATCGTTATAAAAATGTTGTTCTTTTCGCCGCTTTATTATCGAGGTGTTTATTAAATAATAAAGTTTGAATACGTAAATTTATACGTGTCTTGCACATCGTTACGATTAAAAATACTTATGTAAGCTTGCTTTAATTGTTTCCAAATGAAGGTATTATGTGTGGCTGAAAAACCGTCTTTGGCTAAATCAATTTCGCAAATCTTGTCTAATGGAGCTACTCGCACGGTAAAGCTTTGTTTGTGGTCGTCTAGAATACATTTACTTATTGGCTTAAATGCTACTACATTCACGTTCCTAAAGTCGCGTTGGCTTTTACTCTTTTCCATAGCGTCCCACAAAAAATAAATATATCCAAAACTACGACTTTTCTTGCACATTTAGTGATAACAGAACAGTTCAAGTCACTATGACATCTGTTTTGGGTCATTTAATGGGTTATGACTTTCCGCCTGAATATCAAAATTGGTCTCAAGTCCCCCCTTTGGCATTGTTTGATGCGCCCACTGTGAAACATGTAATACGAGTAAGGCCATAAAAAATTTATTAATTGGTAAGAATGCTTCAACGGATAAAGCCATTCCATTTTCATTTATGCAAAAGGGAATTGAAGCCGTTCGTGATAATATTGCAAAAGAAGCGCGCAATGCTGAACAAATAATGATATGGACTGATTGTGATCGCGAGGGTGAAAACATTGGATCGGAGATTGTAGATGTCTGTCGTGGTGCAAATTCAAGAATTAAAGTATCAAGGGCAAAATTTTCCGCAATCATTTCCCAGTGAGTTTCGCCTATTCAAACCGTTCCAATGTTTATATGTTTATGTGACATTCAACTTTCAAATCTAGACAAATTCGTCGTGCATGGCAATCACCCGTGGATTTGGATTATCGTCAAGCAAACGCGGTAGACGCTAGACAAGAATTAGATTTACGAATTGGTGCTGCGTTTAGCCGATTCCAAACTCTAAACCTACAAAATTTGTTTTCAGAACTTAACAACAAAATAATAAGCTATGGTAAGCACAATAGAATTTGATAACATACCTATATGTTTAATCAAAATTCCTATATTATTAATTTTTTATAGGATCCTGCCAGTTTCCAACGCTAGGCTTCGTTGTGGATCAATATTTAAAGGTTCAGAATTTTGTAACAGAAATTTTCTGGAAAATATATGTAGCATTAGAACGTGATGGTAGTATGGTAGAGTTTCACTGGGTGAGAAATCATTTATTCGATCGCTTAGCATGCGTTATAATTTATGAGAAATGTTTGGAAAATCCAACGGCAACTGTCGTTGAGGTCAACTCTAAAGAAGTAAAAAAATGGTAAGGGCATAGTATGCCAATGTAAGGACCAGAATCGGTTTAGTCAGGTGGGTTAGTCGTGCCATAAAAATGTCGCGGTCTCGTGATTGCCGACTTCTCCCGACCCGAAGATTCAGATTACACTTTACATTAAAATACTAATAGCTTTTTAAATTTACTAATATTTAACTTTTAGTATTTTAAATGTAATGCGTAACTTGAATTATTGAGTCGGAAGAGGTCGAAGATCACGAGACCGCGACATTTTTATGGCACGACTAAACTGATTCAAATCCTTATGTCTATATATAGCATGATTCATCTTTAAACATTCTCCCAAAACGCTTAATGATAGGAAACCGTATCCGCTAACTACCGTAGAGCTTCAAAAGATTGGATCGAGGTACTTACACATTTCGTCAGATAGATTGATGACTGTAAGTGTAATTGACCTTAGTAATTAAAACTCTTTAGATTATGAAATTTAAATTGTAAATTTCATCATAAATAGATCGCCGAACATTTGTATGTTAAAGGTTTTATAAGCTACCCAAGAACAGAAACAGATCAATTTGATAGGCAGTTCGATTTTCGCTCTTTGATCGAAAAACAGACTCAAGATACAAGATGGGGAGTTTTTGCAACGAGGTTGTAAATTTATTTATACTTAATATTAAATAATCAGACTATTGATAATATGCCTGTTGTAGACTTTTGGCTGGTGAATTTCGTACGCCACGTAATGGAAGTCATAATGATCAGGCCCATCCTCCAATTCATCCTACTCTTTATACATCTGATTTAACAGGAGACGAACTCAAAGTATATGAGTTTGTTGTTAGACGTTTTTTGGCATGTTGCTCAGACCATGCTGTAGGACACGAGACGATCATAGAAATCAAGTTGTGGGAAGAAAAATTTACCGCTAAAGGTATGTTAATTAGTTAGTATCTGTATTCAAGTATTTGGTATTCATAATTTTTTGTA